TACTGAATTTTCCTCTGGACCTGCGAGATATTTTTTTTTTTGTGAATTCAAATTGGAAACCATTAAAGTGTGTATACAAGTATGTGATCTGTACACGTAAATACTTAGATATAACGCCGATGATCGCAGTATAGGCAATAAACTAAACATAAACTAAACTGAATACACAGGTATCACAACATTACACCATTACATCATACATGGCCAAACAAAGCAACGGAGACCTGATAAAAACTAGGCTGATTGTATAGACAAAATAATGCGTGATATACTGGGATACAGAACGTCATAAAAGGACTTTGCGGGAAGCTTATTGACTGCAATACTGTTTGTCACCACGGTTGCCAAGAGTTCGAGTAAAAAATCAAGTATAATTACAAATGGAGCTCTTACGGATCTTATCATTAATATGACCATTTAGCTATGATGGTATCTTTAAACGTGTGGGCGCTTATATGTCATACGAATGCATATAGCTGACATATAGCACATTTATATATGCACATTGAAACTGTACTCATGTATAGTATATATATTCACAATATAAATATCATGTACTGACAAACTAATAAATACCTGGGTAAGTAGACTTATCAATAGTACACCTGTAATTCATCAATGATTTATACAGTCTGTAGGGGAAGATAAATACGATATCGATACTTAATTTTACGAAGAAATAGCATTGATCACTGAGCCAATAAGTTACTAGAACAATCCTTGTATGGATCGGTGAATATAATGTTATTTTCGCGGATGAATGAGCCTGTTGTAAGAAAGGAAATCCCAATGAAAAATGTAATAACCTCGTGTTTTATATGATTTATTGCTTCTGTTTTCCCTTCCTCTTTCCAGGGAAAGTACTTGACCGGGACCTATTAAAGTTCTCCTGTGGTAGATTCTATATTATTCATAGCGTTTGCTATGTATGAATTGTCCCTTGCTTGCATTCAAAAAGATCCACTTGGTTTGTTCCATCCTTTTTTCGTATGTACATTCGTTATTTGCATAAGTATTCATTTTATAAGATACTTTGGTCTTTCCCCTTGTTCCTCAGGTTTCATTTCCCTGTTTATTTTTATGATTTTTTTTGTGACTGTAATTTGATCTTGTGTTCCATAATGCAGCATTTCCAAACCATACACGTACGGTGATCTTCATTCATAACTTTACCCGGTTAAGCTGTATGGCAGCCAAATGAAACCTGTGACTGGATTTAGGATTCTAGGATTTAACTCCGTACTATAATATATATATATTTAGGGGGGTTAGGGGGGACTCGTACACATTTTTATCTTGTTCATATATCAAGATTGATGCTATTATTTATTTATTTATTTGTATTTCACAGTTAAAATGAGAGAACAGCTAAAATGTCAACGTCGGTGTTGCCAAACATCTGCACATGATTCCACTGATATACTTCTCTTCTGGTAGCACTATTTTGTCACTTTGTTATACTTCTGACAAGACTGAACCTTGATCCCTGTCGTCGCGTTAACTACTACCTATTGCCGCCCTGTCATTCTCGAGGGTCAGGTCACCAGATGCACACACAACACACATGCATACACATACATATACATACACACACACACACACAACACATACATACACATACACATACACAAAAAAACACACAAACACATTTTAGTTCTATTATTTTTTGTATTTGTATTATCTCTTAATGGTTTATGATCTTCATGGAAAAATACCTTTAAAGTGGCCGGGATTGGCAATTGGCCAAAGGGCTATTTTCCTCGGCACTGAAACGGATAGATATTACAGTATTCCATTCTAATCTGAGACCTAACACAATACATAACAAGTACCAATTGCAATATCGTTGCGCGAGAATTCGCCACAACGTCAGAGACTATCACCAGTTTCGACTTCGACTTGTGTAGTTCGACAACAAGTGTTACTGTTTCGTCGCACGAGCACAAGGGATAAATGACCTGATGTGTCGGCGACCAAGACGACGAGGTCATTAACACACACGGCGCGTTTTTCCCCTTTTTCCCCTTTCCCCTGAGCGCACTGCACCTGGACTTAATTAGTCGATTCCCTAGGCGGCAAACACGAGAGTTGGTTTGCTGACTTGGGTGACGGGTTAAAATTCTCGGTAGTTAACTTTGGTGGAAAGTTTGCAGTGTCCGAAACTGGCAACGAGGTCTTTCGGAGTGACGTTCAGAAAAGGGGGAAATATAAAAAGAAGGAAAAGGAAAATTCGTCATATACTGGGCGGTGTACGGTACTCTTATTCTACAAGCAACTACATCGTAGAACTTGAAGAATGTGAGGTTTATGTTTACATTGTTGCTAGGGAGGCGGAGACACAGTCATCAACGCGTGGCCATCACGAGGGCGGGGCGGATGCGTAGCGGATGCCATACAGAATCATGTGATAAACCGGACGAAAACAGAACATCACAAGTATACGAAGAGGATGCTATGTAAAAAAAAAATAATGTTACAAACAGGATACTGAGAACAAAACGCCACGAGATCTTGGACGAACAAACAAAACATCGTCACGTGAAGAAAAGGCATGTGACACACACAGGCAGTGTATAGAAAAAAAAACATGTATGTATATATGTATATAATATGAATATGTTTATATATGTATATATATGTATATGTTTATATGTGTATATATATGTATATGTTTATATATGTATATATATATGTATACGTTTTTATATGTATATATATATGTATATGTTTTCATATGTATATATATATGAATATGTTTTTATATGTATATATATGTATGTTTTTATATGTATATGTACATGTATATGTTTTTATATGTATACATATGTATATATTTTTATATGTATATATATGTATATGTTTTTATATGTATATAATATGTATAAATTTTTATATGTATATAATATGTATATGTTTTTATATGTATATAATATGTATGTTTTTTATGTATATAATATGTATATATATATATATATATATATATATATATATATATATATATATATATATTGTATGTATATTATGTATATATATCTATATTGCATGTATATTATGCATATAGTATTTATATGTATATGATATGCATATATACATATATGTGCACACAGATATGTGTGTGTGTGTTTGTGTGTGTGTGTGTGTGTGTGTGTATGTGTGTGTGTGTGTGTGTGTGTGTGTGTGTGTGTGTGTGTGTGTGTGTGTGTGTGTGTGTGTGTGTGTGTTTCTATCACACACACATATACACAATTTCTTCGGAAGCAAACAAAGGCACGAGCGAGGGATATCAACCAGACATATATATCACATCAACCAGACTTATATCTATGTCACACACACACACGCGCGCGCGCGCGCGCAATTTACAATGCACTAGAACAAGGCATGAGATGTAGGCCAATATATTTTTACTACGAGGAAAATGAATTGGCTTTTAGAAGTAGTAAATAAGTAATCAAGTACTCTCAAGAGACCAACTTTTCGCCATTTTTTTGCGTTTCCGTTAGGATACCGAGGTTCCCATGTAAACAAACTTTACATCCACACAAACAAACATTAAGGCTTTATCACATTAGCAGTTTTTATATTTACGACAGTTTTTGCGTTTCCTTATGACTTTTCAGCATGTTAAATAGACTGACCCTATTACACTGGCAGAGTACAAAAGCAGTAAATATAGTGCCCATGTTAACAAACATTGCACCATCCGAGTGAGGTCATTGTTATATATATCACTACTTTAAAAGTATTATAACGTAAACGAAACTACTACATAGTATATACAAATATTCTAGAATATAAACATATTTTTACATGAATTAACTTTACATGATTTATGAACTAAAACATTGTATATCAACTAAAACAAGATAAAGACGGAAATCAGTAACATGAAATCAGGCAACGGACACTATGGCGATCATGGGTTGGGAACAAGGAAGAAAACGGAAGGAAAAAAATGAGTAGCCATTTCAAAGAAACAACATCCGAATATGATCAAAACAACAGTAAGATGTACAGCAACAATCAACACAACAATAAAATATACAACACTAATGAAAACAACTATAAATGCAACACCACCAACAACAACAGCAATAACAACTACAGCAACAACAACGGCTGTAAGGACAAGCTCCTGACCTTCCTCTTCTGGCAGAGCGGGTGGAAGTAAGTGTGAAAGGGAGAATTAAGGTCAAACCCACTCGCTCTCTCCTCTTCCTCCTCCTCCTCGTTCTTTCCATCTCCCTTGTCCTCTCGCTCTCATCCTCCTCCATTTCCTTCCTCTTCCTCTTCTTTCACTCTTTCCTTCTTGCCCTTCCTCTCGCTCTTTACATTTCCTCCTCCTCGTACTCTCCTCCTCCCCCTCCTCCCTCTTCTCCTCCTCCTCCTCCTCCTCTTCCCCCTTCTCCCCCTGCTCCTCATCATCCCCTTCCCCTCCTCATCCTCGTCTCTCCTCTCCTCCGCTTCCTCTTCCTCCTCTCCTCCCCTTCCCCCTCTCCTCCTCCTCTCTTCCCCTCTCCTCCTCCTCCTCCTCCTCGCACTCTCCTCCCTCCCTCTTCTTCTCTTCCTCCTCCTTTTAATGCCCTCTCACCTCTTCCTCGCCCTAGGCCTCCCACAGTACTCCACTGTTTATCGCCGGCGCCAATGTGTCCTGCGCCCCGAACGAGATGACACTGACAAACTGCCTCCTGAGCGAGCAATTCCGACTCTCCGACTGATTACTTTATAACTATATGTAAACTTATATCTTGCATATACTCAAAATGTTCATCAGAAATTGCACTATCTCTATAACTTCCTTTGTAACCATTATTATTCTCGATACTCTAGTTATCAATATGTTCACGTATTTCTAGCGACATACTTTCTTATCACGAAGCTTTCTAGTTGTATAAACATATCCAATGTCTTCGTTCGTGCGACCACAGGAACCTTATGAAAGCCGCACTGTACATAGAGCCTACGTGTACACTCTTACTGAAGATTAATATTCTCCATTT